AGGTCCTGATGACGAGGTGGCACAGTCACGGTCGTAAGGCTGCTAGTTATGGGTGCTCAAACATCTGCGGTTTTCCTGCGTCCTGTGTCTAGGGTTACAGGGAAGGAAATTCTTGCACTACCTGTTGATTACTGTTCTCGGAGGAGTTTCCAACCCGTCGAGATCGTTATACTGCGCTTCAAAGTTCAAGTTTGGAAGGACTGGAGACTGATGTCAGAGTGATGCTTTGAGAAGGTTTAAATTTAATCTTTACTCTTTATTTTATTTAGATCTAATCTAATTATTAGATTAGATATGCACCAAGCCTACTTTATAACGTATAAGTACACGATCTTTACGGTCTTTTTCCATTCCCTGCAATAGAAATATAAGCTTCATCTTCTTCCAGACCACTTGCAATTTTCCCAAAGGAAATCAATGCCACCATCCGTGGCGAAAAGCGACAGTACTTACAGCGGTTTGCATAAAGGTTGGGCACTAAGCCAAATAAATAAAACAGAAGACAGAACAATCCTAATCTAGGGTGTGGGGACCAAGAAGACTTGGAAGACTTCTGGAAAGGGGTGGTCACATGTGGAAGATGTCATATCAGGGCCGCCCATGTTGAGTAGGTACTAATCAAAGTTTTATATTGTCCTTGCTACTGCTGATAGGCCATTTGTGGTGTGGACTTGTTGGCCAGAAGAAACTTGAATCTTCCTACTATTTCTGTCTTTTATCAAAGCCTGACAATTACAATGTTGCTGGGTGTAATCATAATCATGACGTTGTTCCTGTTCACATTGTTCATGGTGTTGATGCCAATTGGTACAACACCAACCTTGCACCTTGTTGTCTCATCTCGCACAAAGCAGGAGTATGAACTCAACTATCATGAGATTGGAATCTGTAAACCCAGTATATTTTCTGGTCTGCTAGTTGGAACATATCTAGGAATTCCTTGAATATTTCCTGGTGATGTAATGCATCTTATCCTTAATTTTGCTGATCTACTCATTCCATTATGGTTTGGCAAATTTGAATGCACTGGGACAGACTCATGTAATGCCTGATACTGGGTTGTTCTGGAAGGTGAAAGACGGCAGGCTGCTGGCTGTGATGTGGCACAATACACACCTTACTTCCCTGGTTCATTTAATCAGCTGCCACGGAACCTTACTGAGAAGATCAACAGTGGGTATAAAGCATGGGAATTCTTACTCTACCTTTTTGGACTTGGTCCGGGTCTCCTATACATGGTCCTTCCTGCTGATATATGGCATTCCTGTTGTAAACTGGTGTCAAGCATCCACATCATGCAGAAGACAATTACCTGAGAACAGATTCAAGTTTCTCATTTACATCTCACCCAATTCATTGCTGAGTTTGAAGCAATGTATATCTGTATATATGTACAGCAGCATGAGGATTGTATACACATGGCACAACAATCAATACATGGATCATCATATTTAGTGAGGTGAGGCTATATACTCACAGTGGATGATGGAGTGAACAAACTATTGGAAACCTCACAGAAGGACTCAAGGAATGCTCAGATTCCTTCAAGCACCTGTCATGCCATGCAGTTCAACAAACAGAGATAAACCAGCTCAAGGCAATGGTTCCAGCCCTCAACAGAGATGAGCAAAGAAGGGTCAATTCATGTGGAAGGGAAGGATCTTGGAGGAGGTTATGTTCTCCTTCATGCAGCAGATTCATGCCTCTGTTCCATCACCAATACTAGAGGCGAAACTTTGCAGCTATATCTGGAAGGCTACAACCAAGAGAATATTCCTCACACTTTCCAACTAATTTGATGGGCCCAATTATGTCTTCCAAAAGGCCAAGTTGCATGCTCACTCTGAAAGGAAGCTTCAAAAGCTTGATCAAAATTACACATGACAAGAATTATAGAGGCATGTCTATTCCAGAAAATGTACATATGCAGAAAAAACCATAGCGTTACCACTCCACATCCTCATCCTCATCCTCATCTTCGTTAATGTCTGGGTGTTGCATCAATCTCAGTAGACGTGATGAAGGACCCGATCTTGAACCGTCGTCTTCATAAGTCCTAGAGAGAAATGAGCAACAGAACCAGTAAGTTCTGAAAAGATAGTTTACCTCTCGTCATCGTCGTCGTTATCCTCCCAAAAATTCCTGGAATCCGACATATTGAGCAATTATTGGAGGTTAAAGGACTAAGACTTACTCGTTTTCACTGTCGTCTGAAAGCTCAATGGTAGTTCTTGCACGGCTAAACATGGTTCTGATTGGTGGAAAGTCTGAAAGCGCTTCATCGCCGTCAGACACGATAATAGCATTCTGAGCAATGCCACGGTTTGACGCAAGCCTCCTTAATCTAGTCGCTCGGCCAAGTTGTCTTGCAGCTCCTTCTGTCACGGCGACCTCGAAATCGCTATCTTCTTCGTCATTACCATCGGAGACGTGTCCTTGTTGTCTTGGCAAGCGACGTCTCTGGCGACCTGAAGGTGATAATCTCTCGGAAAATGGTACAAGCTGTGGTACTTCGGAGTCATCAATGAAGCTGTCCTCTTCGTATTCATCTGATTCATTTCCACTTTCGTTCACTTGATCTTCGTCAGTATGTGCATGAGTTTCGCCGATTCGTGTAATTCCCTCCTCTGCAGCGCGACCGATCGGAAATAAGTCGTCGAGCGGATTATGGTATAACCGACCAAGTGTCCTGGGTGCGCCAGGTGGCGCCAGATTATGAGTTCTGGGTATAACAAGATCATGTCCACCCTCTTCATCATCTTCCTCAATCTCTTCACCGAGAATAATAGCTGAATCCTCCGAGTCCGAGTCCATATGTTCCCCATCATCTCCAAGATACGTATTCGGTGCATTTGCGAACATATGTAGGATATCGCGGAACTCCCCGCCCGCGTCGAACTCCAATTCCTCGTCATCCTCGTCGTCTTCACTAGCTTGGTGCCCAGGATATTCCCGATGACAATGGGTGCACACTCCACGCCAAATCTCATGCATACAATCGATACACCTATAGATACCGCCGTCGTCTGCATCATACATGCCGATTTCCTCAAGCCCCTCACCACCAGGTCGTGGTGGACGTGGTGGACGTGGCTCCAAAACATCGAGAAAGAAGCGATTCGGACTTATGTTGTGGAAGATATTACGCCATGGATCGTCGTTGGTTGATGTTGAAGACTCAGGCTCTAGAGCGGGTGCAGGCGCGGGCAATTCAACCAATCCGCTGCGTACAAGCCCGGTCACCATGCTTTTGACACCCCAAACCTCGACGGGGCGCTCAATGATATGTGTACGACATACAGGACATTTCTTCTTCTTATAGCAGTGCGAGGTTTCCGGGGGACCCGTCGTATCTTCTTGGAGGCGGTGGAGCTCGCCAAGCGCTTCTGGAGCTGTAAACCACCGGACTAGACAGGGGTAGCAGGCAATGTGTCCACAAGGCGCGAGAGCGAAGGGCTTATGCAATAGATCAAGGCAGATTTGGCAGGTAAGTGCTTGATGAACCTGGGCTAGATGGGACTGATGCTGTGTGAGGAGCTGAAATCACGAAGGACTGAGTAAAAAAGGGTGAAAAGGTGATATTATGGACGTACGAAGCGTTGTACTTCGATTTCTTGTTGCAATCGCGCTACTTGACTTTCGGGAGATTCTACAACAGGTGGCAAAGATTCTTGCTTCGCCTTTCCCTTTCCTTTGTCTGCATATGGCTAAAAGGTAGTTTGATACGAGAAAATTCGTATAAAACAGGGGAAGTGAAGACTTACAATTCTAGAAGATGTGTCTTCTATGTCCGCGTGATTAAAATCCTTTGAAGGCTGCGCTTCCTCGTCTAGCTTCACATCAGCCTCTTGCACGGTGTCCTGCGTTGCTACTGTCGCACTCCTGGATTTCGACCGCGCATGAAGATCAAGTTCTACAGTTGTAACAACGGATGACTTTCTTCTTTTCTTCCTCGTCCGCTTCTTTTTCTCCTTGGTGCCATCATCCTTTTTCGTTTTCTTGAAAGATCTTGAATTTTCAAGGTCTGCGCCAGATTCAGGCGTGCTCCGTTTCTTGGAATTAATGGATGGAGCAAGGGGAGTTATGCTAGAACCAGGAGTTTGACGCGTTGACATGGCTGCAACTGCAATCCGTAATCGGAGCTTGAAATTACAGGGGTTACGGGGTTTACATACCAAACAGTGTAAAATATCCATTTTTGAAGAATGTCGAGCTGATTTTGCGACCGAGATTCATTAAAAACTTGTAAAAGCTTTCATATGCATGTCTTCCAGTCGTTGTGCTCAGACGAACTTTTCTGTCATTCAGCTCTCCTGCTCATGATGCATCCAGGATGTAAAGATCGCCTGAGCCCCCATATTCGTTGATTTTGATCCTTCGGTGCCATCAACATACTGATATAGGTACTGATTTCACCATCCAATGGAAATTGAGCAGGGTCAATTTCAGCCTCATCAAGCTAAACATCTCTCCAGCTTCCCCAGATCAATGCCCTTTCCCTTATCGAGGGAGGGCTCAATGAGTTGCATAGAGGGCATGGGATCAAATTTATCCATTTTCTAATTGACCTGAGCTCATTGGTTGTTGGTCATATTCCTTTGAGCTTCCATGAGGGGGCCATCTGGATGTTGAGTAGAATATGTTCATTTCTCATGGAGTGAATGATATTATCAGGACCATCTACTACAAGGAAGTAATGCCAAACTCTCATGACGATTGTCATCATCGGACTCGGGACTTGTTAGACTAGAGTCCGTACCAGTGTTCATAGCAGAAGCGACGTTTCTGCTGGCTTGAAGCTCAGCAGCATCCACATTTGGATCTGTAGGCATTGTGGCAGTGTTCAAAGAATGATCAAGCTTAACTGTGGTCTGTACATATCTCGACAAACTACAACATCAACTACAAAATACCATACCCAGGATTGGGAGGGATACGTAACAAGGTAAACGACAAGTGAAGCTAGTTGTGTGAGGGGCATCTGCAGCTATGAACGCGTCGTCCGCATCGATTATTGGTTAAATCATTTCGTTGTGGTGATAAGCGCTCCGAGAAGCCGCAGGCTCGAGTCCTGCTACGGACATGGATACTTTTGTGAATCCCAGGAATGTACATAAGTATCTTCTTTTGGGCTAAGGGATGAAGCGAGAGACAGCTTGGAATGGAGTCTGCAGACGTCGCTTAGTCATCACGTGCGCTCTGACCACAACGACGATGAGCGTCGATCCGCCAGCCGATGCGAGCGCTGATGCGACTCCGTTCAACGCCCATCTCCTCCGACTCCTCACCGCCGTCGCCCACGACTCCACCGTCCCCCTCGACCTCAACATCGCCCTCGACGTCGCCAACGACGACGACACCGCTCAGGCCATCCTCTGCGCCATCGCTGCCCTCGTTGACCGCGTTCGCAGAGCAGAGAAACTCGCAGATCCCATCCCCACCCCCATCCACCACAACGTCACCGATGTCCCCATAGCCGGCATCGCCTGCCCGACATGTGGCCGTCCTTCTCCATCTGTTCTTCCCACACCGGCTACTATCCTCGAGCGTGCGCTCGAGCCGCCTCCTGAGCTCCCCAGGTTCGATAATGAGCATGATGAGCTTGTTTTTTTGCGCGAAGCTGTTCGGCCGCTCCGTGAGCAGGCGCAGGAGCTCCAGCTACTCAAGGACCAGGTACAGGACATTGCACGCGTGTGTAATGCCGTCGCGCGCGGCGATCTGTCGCAAAAGATCACGGTTCCGGTGCAGGGAGTAGTCATGGTGCAGCTCAAGGACGTTATCAACACTATGGTCGACAAACTCGGTCAGTTTGCAAAGGAAGTCACTCGCGTCAGTCAGGAAGTCGGTACGGAAGGGTGTGTTTTATTGAAATTATTATTATCTTTTGTGCTTATGATTCTGACAGTAAACTCGGCGGTCAGGCGCTCGTTCTCGATGTCGAAGGAACATGGCGCGAACTTACGGGCGTCGTCAACAAACTCGCCGCAAATCTAACTAATCAGGTTCGGTCAATTGCCAAAGTCACTAAAGCCGTCGCCCTCGGAGACCTCTCCAAGCAAATTGAAGTCGATGCACGAGGAGAAATCTTGGATTTGAAGAACACCGTCAACGGAATGGTTGTTCGGTTCGTATGTTTTCTTTTCTTCTTCTTCGTCTCTAATTACCGAACTACCAGCCTGCGTGCTCTTGCATCCGAAGTCACGCGCGTAACCCTTGAAGTCGGCTCACAAGGAAAACTCGGCGGTCAGGCACACGTACCAGACGTCGAAGGTGTCTGGTTCGAGCTCGTTCGAAATGTACATTTCTCCTTCACTCTTTTTTCACGGAATAAATACTTCAATAATAGGTCAACCGAATGTGCTCCTCGCTCACTGACCAAGTCCGTTCGATCGCCAAAGTTACCACCGCCGTCGCGAGAGGAGACTTGACACAGAAAATTGAGATCAGCGTCGAGGGCGAGATGTCTACGTTGAAGAGTAAGTTTCCTTCCTGCCTCTTTTTATCACGAGGTCTGATCCATCAAAGGCACCGTAAACTCTATGGTCGACCAACTATCAGCATTCGCGAGCGAAGTAACGCGTGTCGCGCTTGAGGTCGGTACACAAGGTATACTTGGCGGGCAGGCTACCGTCGAGGGTGTTCAAGGAACCTGGGCCGACCTCACTCGTAATGTCAACGTGCGTCCCCTCTTTTCCTCTCCCCTTCCATCCTAATACCCCCTCCACCACACAGAAAATGGCCTCAAATCTAACCGACCAAGTACGTTCCATTTCCGAAGTGACGAAAGCTGTGGCGCAGGGCGACCTTAGCAAGCTCGTCAACGTCGATGTGCAGGGTGAGATGTTGGACCTCAAGTTGACTGTGAATTCAATGGTGGAACAACTCAGCACACTTGCGAATGAGGTGACGAGAGTGTCGCTTGAGGTTGGGACGGAGGGGATTTTGGGTGGGCAGGCGTATGTTCCTGATGTGCAGGGCATGTGGAAGGTGCGACGCGCTGTTTGTTGTTGCTGTCAATTCCTCAAGACTGACGAGTCGAGCAGGTGTTGACCGATAACGTGAATCTGATGGCTAACAATCTCACTTCACAAGTGCGCTCGATCGCGCAGGTCACAAAGGCCGTGGCAGGCGGTGATCTTACGAAGAAGATTGATGTTGACGTGCGAGGAGAGATTTTGGAGCTGAAAGAGACGGTGAATGGGATGACGGAGTCGCTTAGTGTGTTTGCGGATGAGGTGACGAGAGTAGCGAGGGAGGTTGGGACAGAGGGGAGGTTGGGCGGACAGGCAAGGGTGACAAATGTTGGCGGGACGTGGAAGGATTTGACTGATAATGTTAATGTCATGGCTAATAATGTGCGTTTTCTCTCTCCTTCTTTATGTTGTTGAAGGATCAACTTGCGCTTACGTGGACTCCCAATGCAGCTGACGCTTCAAGTACGGAATATTGCAGTCGCCACGACTGCCGTCGCGCGGGGAGACCTCACGCAGAAGATCACGGGCGTCTCTGTCAGCGGCGAGATGCTGTCGCTCGTCAATACGATCAACGATATGATTGATCAACTTGCGATTTTCGCGAAGGAAGTTAAGAAAGTCGCGAGGGAGGTCGGTACGGAAGGGAAGTTGGGTGTGCAGGCTGAGGTGGGGAATGTTCAGGGGATGTGGCAGGAGATTACGTACGTCGTTTTCTTCCTTCCCTCTTCCGTCTTTCCATTCACGCGCCCACGCTCTCTTCAGACTATCCGTCAACACGATGGCGAGCAACCTCACGACGCAAGTGCGCGGGTTCGCACAGATCTCCGCTGCAGCGATGGACGGCGACTTTACGCGCTTCATCACGGTCGAGGCGAGCGGCGAGATGGACTCGCTCAAGACGCAAATCAATCAGATGGTATATAATCTGCGGGACAGTATACAGAAGAACACGGCTGCGCGTGAAGCTGCGGAACTGGCGAATAGGAGTAAGAGTGAGTTTCTGGCGAATATGTCGCATGAGATTAGGTGGGTGTTTATTGTTGCTTTGTGGTTGATTTGTGGATGAGGGCTGATGGGATTGTGTATGCAGGACGCCGATGAATGGAATTATTGGGATGACGGAGCTTACGCTCGATTCAGACTTGAATAGGTCGCAGAGGGAGAGTTTGTTGCTTGTGCATAGTCTTGCGAGGTCGCTTTTGTTGATCATTGATGATATTCTGGATATCTCAAAGAGTGCGTTACGCTTTGTCCCGTCTGCACCACTAATGAACTCGCTTCTTAGTCGAAGCCGGCCGCATGACGATGGAAGCCGTGTCCTACTCCCTCCGCCAAACCGTCTTTGGGATCCTCAAAACGCTCGTCGTCCGCGCCTCGCAAAACAACCTCGATCTCACGTATGACGTTGAGCCAGACATCCCAGACCAGCTCATCGGCGACTCGCTGCGCCTGCGGCAGGTAATCACGAACCTCGTGGGCAACGCGATCAAGTTTACACCGAGCAAGACGTCGAGGAAGGGACATGTCGCGCTGAGCACGAGGTTGCTGGCGTTGGATGATCAGAGCGTGACGATTGAGTTTTGTGTTATGGATACGGGGATTGGGATCGCGAAGGATAAGTTGAATTTGATTTTTGATACGTTCTGTCAGGCGGATGGGTCGACGACTAGGGTAGGTGCCCTTTCTTGAAGGCGTATATAGCGGGCTGACGCTCATGTAGGAATACGGTGGGACGGGTCTTGGATTGTCGATTTCCAAGAGACTTGTTAACCTTATGCAGGGAAATATGTGGGTTGAGAGTGAGGTGTCGAAGGGCTCCAAGTTCTTCTTCACTATCACCTCCCAGATCAGCCATTCATCGATTGAGAGCACGCTCTCGAAGATGTCGCCGTTCGCGAAGCGTACGATTCTGTTCGTTGACTCGTTGTATGATACCACCGGCGTCTGTGATCGCATCAAGGAGCTGTGTTTGCGCCCCCATGTCGTCCATATGGTCTGTGAGGTCGCGGACAAGGAGAAATGTCCGCATATCGATACCATTGTCGTTGATTCTCTTAGTGTTGTAAGTTCCCTTCCCCCCCTCTCTTTCTCGTCCCGCGATTCCTGGCCCTGACGCCGCGTTTATCAGACTGAATGCATCCGCGAGTACGAGCACCTCCGCTACATACCTATCGTACTCCTCGCACCATCGATGCCTCGCCTCAATCGTGCGTTGTCTCCCTTCCTCTCCCTCCTATCCAACCTTCTCTGACACCTGTTCTCGTTTCCCCTCTTTTAAGTGAAATGGTGCCTCGACAATAGCATCAGCGCGCAGCTCACGACACCCGTCACCGCCCAGGACCTCGCCTCTGCGCTCATCTCCGCCCTGGAATCCAACACCGTCAGCCCCGTCGCTGCGCCCAACGACGTCACGTTTGATATTCTCCTCGCTGAGGATAATCTCGTCAATCAGAAGCTGGCAGTCAAGATTCTGGAGAAGTATGGGCATACTGTTGAGATTGCGGAAAATGGAAGTCTGGCCGTTGATGCGTTCAAGAGTCGGGTCGTGCAGAGTAAGCCGTTCGATATCATTCTTGTAAGTCGGTGGGTTGGTACGTCGAAAAGATGTACTTATGATTTTTGTTTGTAGATGGACGTATCGATGCCATTCATGGGCGGTATGGAGGCGACGGAACTCATCCGTTCGTACGAGATGCATCGTGGCTTAACACCGACCCCCATTATCGCTCTAACTGCCCACGCCAGTACGTTCACGTCGTTGTCTTCGTAGACCTTATTATACTGACTTTCGTTTATCAGTGATTGGCGATCGCGAGCGATGCCTGCAGGCAGGTATGGATGACCATATTACCAGTACGTCAACTTTGTCTTGCCCTTGCCTCTCTAATACTTTGCGACGCAGAACCCCTCCGCCGTGGCGACCTCCTCAATGCCATCGGCAAACTCGCTGGCGAGAGAGGCGCCGCGAAGCCCCACCGGCGCGTGCCTCCAGGATTGGAAGCACTTAGATTCCAGGATATACCTCGTTGACTCTGAAGCTTTCCTGCGCGCATTTATTCGAAGACTATTGATATAAGGACTGCGAACCAACCATCGTGTACCTGGACTG